GTTTCGCATCACCTGAAGCGCGTCCCGGTGTCCCCGGAGCCCGGTTCACCGCCGGGGCTGGCTGCTAACGCCGAAAGGACAAACCAGCCCGCAGGGTACCGCCGGGCCCCGCCGCAGCTGCGCCCGCACCCTGCCTGGGGCCGCGGGCGCTGGAGGCTGTCCCGGGGCTCTGCGGCCTGCCCCCGCCCCGCCGTCCGGGCATTCACGACCAAAACCCAATTCTATTCAAAAACGAATGGAAGAACTCAGCAGCCTCGGACGGCTCCCGAGCCGCACGCTTCGGGCACCCCGTAAGACGTGCGAGTTTTAGCTGAAAATGTCCATATGGCCTCACTCTGGCAAAAAATAGGATCTAGACGGCAGGTCTGGAAAAGAAAGGTCTTTTCTCATGGGAAACCCAATATACTTAAAGGTCCGTGTGGTATTTTGTGATCTCACAGCCTGGGGTGTTTTGCAACTTTACTGCACAAATATTTGGTGCGTGTCTTTAAAAGCTTTGCTACATCTGTTCCTTCCTCATTTTCCTCCTTCTGGCCGGTAACTTAATTTTTTGTTTCTCACTGCTAGAGAAATGCCGAGTAACACATGCCGACTTACTTGATTCATTGCCAATATTTATTTCAAATTGATAGACCGCAGTGAAAAGTCACTGCAATATTAACAGCTGTAAAGGCATGAAGAAATTCATCACTGGGAAAACAGACTAGCAGAAGATTCAAACCATAAAATAAGTCAACAAGCTAGTACTGCTCATCCTGACTCAGAAAGTATGTGTGTATATATTCTGAAATATTTGATCTTGCAAATTTTTTGCGATAATTTTAAGTCAAGTTTCACTAAGGCTGAAATTGTGATAGTATTATTTGTACACACTTTGTTTTCTTGACACGGAGGGTAGTAGTATGTGTAAAATCACATACCAGATACTTTCAGCTTATGCTTCTGGACTTCACCTAACTTTCCCCTCCCTTTTTTCCCATACACAGACACAAAAGTGAAGACCGAGACGGAGAGTCTGTCTTAAAGAGAACTAAATACAATTTACGCACTTAGAGCTATAAACCAACTTCAGACTCATTTCCTTAACTTGCATTTTCTTGGGGAAGGTGACAAATTTGCTTTGTGCCAAAGTTTTTTGCGCTTTCCTCCACCACCACTTGACATGCGCTACCATTATAGCCCCGTCTTCAGAGAAAAGGTCTTTTCTGCTGAGTCCGCCTGTGTTGATTACAGACCCCCCAAGCGATCCTGCCTTATAGGGCCGGAGAGACCTTTGGTAGCACTTCCAAAACTGGATATTAAACCTAGATCCATCGTAGGCACTCCCCACTGCTACTCCTATTCCATGGGACTGACGTGTTTTATTTGTGAACATGTAATTTCCCGAGTAGATGATTTATTGCTGAGTTTAGACTAAATATCCCTAATGATCCTTTTCAGCCTTGAAATCTCTGTGTTTGTGACTTTCACCTCTCATTGGCCTTTAAGTTTTCCATCATTTTTGTTTATTTTTGCAGATACCAGCATGAAAACTGGTTTTAGTCAGACAAACCTAGACTCCTGGATATGTTGTTTATCTAGCTATTTTCGTATTTTCTTTTTTTAGATGACCGCATGTGAAAAGACAGGCACATAAATTCTGCAAAACTGTAAAATGAATACTATGACAGACTATGCGATGGACTTTAAAACCAGCCCTTTAAAGTATTAAAAGTTACTTTAAGAGTATGTGCATTTGAGGACAGCTGGTAAGAAAAGCTGAAGAAACAAAATTCTGTCTCTTTCTCTGTCTTTCTTTTAAATTCCTTTTCTTTTTAATACTGTTACAGTTCCTGGGCAATCGTTGCAGTTGGATTGCTGGTTCTGGTTTTTATTGCTCTGTTGGCTCGTGTTCTTGTCAAAAGAAAACCACCAAAAGACCCGCTGTTTTATGGTATGTCTTGGTAACAATGAAGGTAAATTGAGAAAGTGTTCATTTTTATAAATGATGCTATATGACAGTTATTTCAGATTGAACATTTAAGGCATGGCTTCAGAACCCAGTCTGGTGAGGTGCTAAGGAGCCAAGAAAGAAAGACTGGGGCAAAAGGAGGAGAAATAATGCTTCTTTTGAACCTTTTTATTCTTCTCAAATAGGAGATCCAGCTTAGGGACAAGCCAGACCTCCTATTTGAAAAGAATAACACTTGAGTTGGGCTGTGAAAAATGTTTGAAATACTGTCATACCTGCTCTGTTAAGATCCTCCTTGTACCAGGACTTAGGCACCGCAGTAGACCTCTCGCGCGTATCTCATCCTGAGCGGACTCATTTGGGATTTTTGGATCTTTTGGATCAATGGCCTCCATGGCTTGTTCTTCCTATGATTGAATTCCTTAATTCTCCCATTTTTATTAGGCTTCTGTGTTAACTCATCTGTGTGATGTATAAGAAAGTTCAAACCACCCCAACTCCTGGCTCAGGCTGTCTGCAGACTCTGGCAAACGTTTCCATATTGATACTTTGCCATAAAAGAATAGAGATATAGATTACTTTCTAAAAGGAAACCTTAGCTCTAGATAACCTTATAGCAAAAATCTAGAAGAAAAAACACTGCTGTTTTTTGAAATTTTACAAGATAGACTTAGAGGCAAAGCAGGGTACAAACCACCTGTATTTGCCCTCTGGCTTCCTCCTCATTACAACTCGTAGGCATCTGTCCCCAGTGTTCTACAGGAGGCTGGGAACTCCCGGTTTACACTGAAGTCAAAGGAAATAAATAACATAAACCTACTGCAAATAAGTTTCCTCTCTCAAAGGAGTGACTCGCTAACTTGTCAGATAGGTCTCCTATGGACTGCTGTGGCTAATGCAGTTTGCCTTGCTCGCCTCCAAAAATGGCAAGTCACATTTCCCTCTCCGCCTCCTTTTTGTTGTCCTTTCTCCTTTCCAAGAGATGACGACAGTCAAGGTTGTATACTGTGTGTGACCAAGATTTTTGGAAGGCTACATAGTCCTTTCTGCAGACGCTGACTTTCCATGGAGGCTGTGCCTACAGCTCTACAGAATTGCACATTCCTAAGAAAAGCTTCCTAAGAACTTTGTTGACTAACCACTAATTAAAAAATCCTAAGCTATGTGGGAAAGTCGTATTGTATGTTAAATACCTGTGACCTCAAAGTAGATGCATCTAGTTCAATAGATCTCTGCCTGACTGAATTTATCGGACTGTGAAGCAACTGCGTGATTCCAAATCTTTATTAATTTATTATTTTTTTCCCCCTTTATCTTATTACAGTTTATGCTGTATTTGCCTTTACCAGTGTAGTGAATCTAATAATTGGACTGGAACAGGATGGAATTATTGACGGATTCATGACTCATTACTTGAGAGAGGTAAACAATTGTTTGGCTTACAAATGTAAACAAAATCTTTACAATAAATAACTTCGTATAGTATTTGTCACAGAAAAATAGCCGCTTACACATTCAAAAGGGTCGTCTTGAATTTGGTCAGTGACCTGTTTCATTATTGTTATGGACAAAACCTTCACTGGCTTGAAATCACTGACTCGTTTGGGAAAAATTGTGTGCTTTTCAAGCTCCAATGTTATTTCACTTAGTTTAAGTAATACTGTTCTGTATTAACTTCTGTGGGAACTGAATAGACTGTACATGTTTGCAGAAAGCCATAGATACTCAGCACTCAGGAATGAATCAGTACTGCAATACCTAAATGTGTTGCCAGGAAGGAAACAAAATTGCTCCTTTATTTTTGCCTAATCACTTTACTAAAAGGAATTAAAGTAGAGCTAAAAAATGATGATGCCAGATACCTAGTCAGCAGAATCTGTTGGCTGCTGAATATCAACATCTACCAAAAATAGCTCCGTAAGAGCTTGATGTGAAAGTCACTGAAGTCATTGAAAAGATTCCATGAACTTTAGCGTGAAATGAGTTGGACCTTACAAGGTTATACCTCGTCATCAATATATTCAATGCTGTTGTAGATCTCTAGGTTGCTAAATATATCTTTATTTGTTCTATGTTAAATGTGTCTTCATTTTGTAGCTTTTATCACTAAAATATGGAAAAGTAATATTTCCATAATACAGCAGAAGAATGCTGATAGTCATACATAGGAGTTTTCCTTCCATCTTGCGCCCTATTTTGCAGCTATAGAACTGATTTAATTATACCTGATCCTACCTAAATCAGATTTGTGGTTGGAAACGTGTATGGTCAGTGAAGAGCTGTACCTCTGGATTGAAAGAACATCATTTACTTTTCTGAAATTTTTTCCTGTTGTTTTTTATTAATTATTTGTTATTCTTCCTCTAATCATTGTATCTTTTTTAACATAAATCTTCCCTAGGGTGAACCATATCTGAACACTGCGTATGGCCACGTGATCTGCTATTGGGATGGCTCCGTTCATTATCTGATGTATCTGTTGATGGTGGCAGCTATTGCATGGGAGTAAGTAATTTTGATTTGTGTACTGTTTACTTTGCTTGCTCTCTCATATAACCTACAAAGGGCTTTCTTCTCTATGCAATATTTACATTTTTCTTTCAGAACTGTTTCATGTCTTAGGCCAAAGCAACGCTATTAAAATTTCATTACTTTCAGGAATTGTACCAAGTTACCCCTTCTCGCAGCTGAATAAGCCCAGCAAATGCATTGAGTTGTAGTCCGTCTGCTTCACTCTGCAGCAGAGAGCATAGCCCAACTGCATGCTTTGTGTTAGTTAAAGGGAACGCTTAAAGACGATGCCCGTTAAAACCATGTGTGAAAAACAAATTTTTTTTTCAAATGACATATTTATGATAGGAATAATGTATTGCTTAGCATGATGATGATCTCTCATCCATGTTAGAGCGTATCATGCAGTTTAAGAGAAAAAGGTTATTTCTAGAGATTCTTATGTTTCTTGCTGTTGAATAAAGAGTTTGAGAAAGTAAGTACTTAAATTACAGAGGCAAATGTACCCACTGGTAATAGAAGCATTAACAGAATGAAATTAAATATTAATTCATTACTAATTCTTTTATAGTCTTGTACAACCTGTGATGTGCAAAATCATGCAGTCAGCCTTCAGATGAGTGAAACATAGCAGCAAATAACTGAGTATGCACAAATCCTGTACTGTTCATGTGATAACCTTCTCACACGTGAAAGTAGGATTTCTCCATATCCCCCTCTCAGAGGCGAGAATCCACTGCTGACTTGTGGTACAGATTTTCAGACCTTTACTTACTAAGAGACAACCATGGCAATTAGTATAATATTTGAAGGTGATTTAGGATAGGGGATTTCTAGGGATGGTGCAATAATTGTGTCTTGTTTTCTTTTTTAAACAGACAAAGCTATAGAACCATTGGCCTCTACTGGCTAGGTTCCATTATCATGAGCATCATTGTCTTTATGCCTGGAAACATTGTGGGTAAGGAAACAATTTATATGACTAACTTTTTCCTATGAAACATTTTCTAAATTCAGCGTTAGGTTATCTATATTTTACTGCAGTATTGGTTCCTTTCTGTAATAATATGAAAGGTGAATTTTAGGAATATCAGTAAAGAGATGCAAGGTATTTCGCAATTTAAATATGAAGAAGAGAAGATGGAGACCAGGAGAAAAAAAAAACAACTTTCAATTTACATTGCTGTCAAGGAAAAAAAAATGTATTGTATTTTGTTATACCCATAAGGCTTTCATCCAAACTAGGTTTAATTTAAGCAATGAGACAATAACTGTCTCTTAGTATCATAAAAATATAAATCTTCTTTTGCATAAAATTTCCGATTTGCTGAATAGTCTGACTTTCAAGCAGCTTACAAGAAGCATCCAAATCACCTTTAAAAGTGAAATCTGGAAGTTATTCTATTTTCAAAATAAATTTAACGTTCTTAGATTTCTAACATAAATCAGTGCATAGCTGTGCTGCTAGAGATTGAGAATTGTGATAAAAAATTTTACATCATCATTACTGGCAGGTGATCCTTTAAGAGTGCCACCCCCCTAAATTAAAGATTTTCTTTTTAGCAAAGCTTAAATTGATGCAAAGTTGACAAGTGTTCAACTGAGAAAAATGTGCATGTGTCCAAATCCTGTAGTCAGCTTTAGAAAAGCTCGCTATGGCCCCACGTTTTATGACAGAGGAGGAATATTCATGGTGCAGCCTGGGGCCAGTCCAGTTCCCTCCTTTGTAGATACACATGCACTACAGAGAAAACAGGCAGCAGATTTAATGCAACAATATCTCTTCCTTGTTGCTTCAGGGAAGGCTGAGAAACTTGTTCTCATGAGCATGCCTTCTGCCTTCCTTTCTGACACAAGAGAGTAGCCAGTGTAAAAGACACAATTTTTTGTGATTTACCTGGGCTGAGGATAGCTCTCTGAATTTATGTTTTGTCCTCAAATACAGGCCTGTAGGAGAAGTCAGGACTTTGGAAATCAAATGCAATATCAGATCTTAAGAAATGGATGCATTCCTTTTTTTCCATTATTTTAAAGAATGATGTCTCTATCTGAAGCAGGTTCCATTAAGAGATTTCAAAGCTGTCCCATCCTATAGGATTACCTAGTGCAGAGTGACTGAGGTGGCTTCCGTCCCCTCAAAAACCCCCTAATTTCTGAAATGACTGATAGGCTCCCTGTCACCTGTGACTCCACCACTATTGAGCACATGATTTTCAACAAGATTTGTGTGTGGCTTTTAGCAAGTGATTTCTAATGTTTTATGTTTACATTACCATAGCTGCTTCAGGTTTGATATAACGTAGGATATTTTTAAAATCTTCTGCAACATAGCTTACAATTTATCATACATCTTATAATTGTTTTTTAACAGGAAAATACGGAACAAAAGTGTGTCCTGCTTTTTTCTTAAGTGTACCATATATTTGCCTTCCCATATGGGCTGGGTTCCGAATTTATAACCAACCTTCGGTGACTCACGACACTCCAGTCAAGGTAATATTATTGTATTTAAGTGTTGGCTACTGTTAGGAAAACTGAAATATACTTGCTGTCTCTACTGAGTTTTATAGGCCACTCGGTGAGTATGGAATGCACTGTAACTTTTCACTCTTATGGCAATTGCTGCTGGGCTGTGTAGACACTGTAAAAATATCTATACGGCAGGACCATTTTATTGTAGTGGGATAAAGAAAAAGCAAAAGAATCTCATGTTTAGAGTAAATAACGCATTTTTAGCTGTAATTGTGTTACTATCCTCTATGTATGCAGTTTGTGACTATTTCAATTTCTTAGCTGATGAAAATATTGGCATATACCAGGTTCATAAAGAACCACAAAATTCTTAGAGAAGCTCTGCAGGAAAGTATTCTTCTGCAGATGACTTACAGATATCATGCAATTTAATATTTTTTTGTATGTGCATTCTGCAATATTAGATTTTAGAGGTAAGACATTGTACATTAATTGATAGGAAAATTATTTACACACTTTTTACTTATTGAAAAAACCCTGTAAAAATAATGTTTACTTAAAACTCCTTAGACCTTTGCCTTTGAATTTAATAGTTGGGCTGTAATAAGATTAACTGAGCAATCAAAAAATGCAATAATAGCTTATGCACTGTTCTATAAAAAAAAAAACTCCCTGCAGTACAAAGCGCAGAACAGATCTTTAACTCTTTGTTGCTATAGCAAGCCATCTTATTGCCACAGCACACCATATCAGTTGTAAGTAATATAATCAATTAATATTTTTGCATGACAAGAGCTCCTGAGTCTCAGACAGGTTTATTCTGTAACTGAAAACACAGACGAAGGAGTTAGTTAGTTAGAAGGGGCGTAGCCTATGGCATAGAATAACAGCAGATGATGCTCTGACAGATTTTCCCAGAAATGTATGAAAGATAACATTCAGCCATCCATCCATGATTCATCAGTAGGAAAGAGGGGTATAGACAGATGTTCGTATCTCCTGAAGTTTGAAGAACTGCTACAGAATTGCCAGTTTTAGGGCAAATCCCTATGAAAGGCAAATTGGGGGAGACTTCAGGTGTCAAACCCTCTTCTACCCTCCTGCATAAGCTTATAGGAAACTGCATGTACCATCCCAAAGCAATTTGAGCTGATTTACTTAAAGGTGTCACTAATTCTGGCCAGAAATATATTCTTTAGAGTCATCAGGGTAGAGAAGTTGAGTGTAGTTAAAGGTCGTGATGGCGGTTTTGCCATATATATTAGTGAGAACATCCTTTGCGTGGAGGATGGGTGAAGGTTTCAGTTTGTTTTCCTAGTATTGAGAATACCACAGAAGTTGCTATTATAGAAAATAGGTGACGGACTGCTTATTTGCTGCAATATAGCCATGTCTCCCATGCTTATCAGGAGCTAAACTGCTTACCTGGGTTTGATATTTTACTTCGGTATATATTGCAGAGCAACTTAGTTTTTAAATTCTATTTCAAAAAGAAAGTGCATAAAAAGCTGGTGATGTGAAAATTTAACATTGCACTTCTTGGTGAATCCTTTCTTGTAAACCTGAACTTCCACGCTCAGAAGGTCATAGAAAAAGCCTTGATTCCTTTCACTCGGGCCTCCTACCCTTCCTAAGTAATTTCTTTTTTAGGAGTCATGTTTTATCTTCACAGCTAATTTATGCTCCGTATCTGAGCATAGCTACCCGGGTTCAATAACTGTATACCTTAAAATGCCTTTAAATCTCAACACGACTACTCCTGAATTTTTCCTATTTTTTATACAACTCTCTCAGTCCTAAATTAAGTATTGTTTCCAGGAAATAATTATGTGTAATGCTACTAATCAGTTAGCTAATCATTGTAAGTCCTGAAAATATTTAGTTCTCTTTCAATAGATCATTTGCAATTCGTTGTAAAATTGAACTTTTTTTAGCTATCATTATTCAGAGTTGGTATTAAAAGATTTAGGAACAAAATGTAATAATGCTTTTAAACATGATAGTGCAAGTATATAGAAAAATACTTACAGAAAGCAACAGAAGCAAGGTATGTTCTGTTGGCTAAAGTATTCATTGCTATAATATTATTATAAACCAGTTAGTTAAAGAAAAATCACTGTGGGGACAGAGAAGAGGTAATCAAGTTTTGGATGTTTTCTAATAGAGGTGGGTACATGAGAGAGGAATGGAATTATGCCCTCATTTAGAATCAAACCAAGCTGTGCTGCAGTATTTACAAAGCCCAGCAGATTTACCTACAAGTGTATCAGCTCAGAAAAGTTTAATGTAATTTAAAATTCATTAACAGAATTAATACACATAAATTCAGATTTGCACATGAATTCTGAAGGGACTGACTTATATGGATAGCACACAAGATTATTCAGATTTCTTGAAACTGATTGTGTAAGGAGCCTCTCAGAAGTTATGGAAAATAACTTCTTCCTGGAAGTGAGAGAAATTGCAAAGCGTGCCTGCATGCTTCCTTGCTACGCAAAAGAAACAGCAGGGTTGGGGAGATCTGTGCAGAGTTCAATGTTGTTTGCAACAAATGGGAAACCTGTGGCAGGTCATCTCTACTTGGCCAGTGTACTCAACACATTTGAGCATGTATTGATGTGACTTTGCTGTGTAAAAGAAGGGTAAGGCAAAATTACTACGTAACTGAGATCTGTCAGCAAAGTGCATGCTGTCTTTCAAATTCTTGCTTCTGCTTTTTTTTTAAGCTTTCCATTTTTATTTTGTTTGCATAAATGTATGCATAGAGAAAAAAGGTGCGAGTTTTCTGTACCTTGGCAATTTCACAAACTCGTACTGCACCAAAGGTTGTTTGCACTAATATTGGCTTTGTCTCCAAAACCTCTAAGTACAAAGTTCTGCTGTAGCTTTGTGATCACAGTAAATATGCACATTCATTTAGTATACCTCTTGGGAGGAGGAGTGATACTTATATATAAGTAAGTAAGTATATATAAGCTTCATACTTAGACAAAAATGGAAAGAAAAATATTTCAACCCTCAAACTTTCCATTATCCTTAGGTAGTCTACATCTGAAAATGATTTGCAACTCAGCAGCCATGGGAGGCCTTTGTCTTTCATAGGGATAAATACTAGAATATAGACATTCTTTGCAGGTAGTATTATAAACATTCCTACACTAGTACTTTAAATACTGTGAAGTGACACCATACTGCCAAACCAGACCCGTTATTTGTGTTTGAAAAACAAAGGTGTCACTTTTTTTTCTGAAAAAGATCCTTCAAAAGGAAAAAAGAAATAGTTTTATGAAAGGGATGGCCTATGTGTTTAAAATAGCCTTATTTTTGTTAAACCACAATTCAGATCTTGCAGTTCATGCTCAGGAATTGTGCTTGCAAGATTGGTTCTCCTGTTTCAATAACTTTATTGTGAGTATCTTGATCCCGAGTGCTTTTAACTGTGCCTCTACATCCTAATTATTGTTTTGTGCTTTGAGGACAATTCCACAAGTGTATAACAGGAAGGAAATTGGGTTTTTCTTTTGCTGTCTGCATGCCAACACATGGCTAATAAAAAGGAAGAGGAAATGAGTAACATATAAATGGGGAAGTTTTCTCTCTGAATTACAGAAGGATACTCTGATGTGCTTATAATTTTGTCTGTGACTACACAGTGCTGAAAGTGTACCTCAAATTATTTCCATGGGTCTTGTAAGTTTTACCATGTAGGCAAAGAGATGACTTTGGTTCCTCCAAGACGTCTTCCGTGTTAGAGATCTATACGGCCTTTGCTACTGAGAACCCCTCACATCTGCCCATGCAGTGCAGCAGGGGGATTCCTGTTCTGAGGCTGAGGAAAGGAGGCACAGATCAGATCCAGATGCCGAGAAGTGCTTCAGTGCCTGTCAGAGGAATCCGTAGCGTACAGTAATAAAAGAATCAAAGGAGGGCTTCCACATGCTCCATATGCACACACACACACATTTCATTCTCTACTTCTACTACATGTTAAGATATATTATTTGCTCACTGAACTCAGCAGAGAACTCAACTGGCCACAGAAAAGCTTTTATTTTATGCCAGTGATATTCCATTAATTTGAATAGTGCCACAGGCCGCTGAAAACCAGCATTCGCTGTCAACAATGAGATGGAGATGGACCCTCATTTTGCTGTCCCTCCAAAGAGTCCTTTTACAAAGCGTATTAGATTCAACTTCAAATGTTTGAGGTAAACCTACATTCCAAAGCTTTTCTACATAGGGACATTCAGGAAAATTAATTAATTCAAATTAACAAAAGACGCAACTTTGAAGAAGTTAGTTATGCTGCTGTAAAGCCTTATGTGATCGCAGAGTGAGAGTAGTGTTCATTTGATTTAGGTTGCTTTGGAAGTAAACTAATCTGTATTGAAACGGCTTTAGTTGGATCCATCCATTTCTATATTCAGATTAATTTTCCTCACTGCATCCTGTAGAGTCTCAAGTCACCTTTTAGATGTGGAAATCTTTCTGTCTCTGAAATCAGTGGATAAATAAGGTAATGTAACTGAGCACTAACTGCATCTATCACAATGTGTCACCACTTCACCCTTCTTGTAGTGACTGCTCTGGAGTTAAATACATCTCATGTGGAACGGGAGGTACTCACTGAACACGTTCTGTGTTGCAGGTGGTTCAGGAAGTCCAGAAGAAAGGACTCTTAAGACGACCAATAGATTTAATGTTAGCTGCATACCTCATTCTAGCAACGGGGTTTTGCATATTTAGGGGCATGGTAAGTTGAAGATATTTTAATATTCTGGCCTCTACTTTTCAGTCAAACTTTTAAATTTGAAATCATTGTGTCTGTGTGAAAAAGTATGTACATTTTGGTTAAGGGAATCCTGTGACTTTCAGGATTGGAATAGGCCTTAGATATATAAGGGACAATTTGATTATTTATGATAATTAGTGGTGCTTTGCTTCTCCATTTTGCCCTGTGTAAATACGTTTTTCAAAAGAAAGTAGGTGCACTATCACAAGAGTAAATAGCATCCCAAGTGTGGATCAGCATGACCTAAAACCATTTTCATTAGTCTGGTGTTACATTTATGTCCAAGAACATGGAGACAAACCAACTAAATTAAATCTGTATTCGTGTTTTTCTAAACAGAGTTGCATAGTTAAAATTATATAGGAAGCCAAGTTAATTTACACTGCATGAGATAGAGGAGAACATTTCCACGTGAAAAAAAAAAAAAAAAGATTTATCCACGTTACCTGAACAACACATGTTGTTTCTACTTACCAAGTGCTGATTTTTTAAAAAGTGTTTGCTTTTTAAGCATAGTTGATTGAATTAAAATTTCTGAGGGAATGAATCAGTACTGAAAATGCTTGAAGTAGATAAATCCAGTAGTAGGTAAATCTAGCCTTTTGTCAGCTCTGAAGCATTTTCTGTCTTAAGCAGAAGGGAAGGTGTACATCATTCAGTGAACAGAGCTCAAATGTTTAGGTGCCTTAGACAACTGCCTGCTTGCTTGATTTGTAGATCTGATCCCGTCTAGAATAATTCAGGTAAGAGGTGACGATAAGTACCCAAGCAACATTCTATTTACCTAGCGCAGATTGTCCTTTTGTAGTTCTGCTGCTCACATTACTCTGTCGTCTTCTGCTGTTTCGCTGAAAACTTGCCTTTCAAAAATTTGTATTTTTCTTCTAACTTGTCAGACTGCTTCATTTCTTATAGATGATGCTCTTCAGAGCGCCACTGATGCAGGTTAATCAGCTGTTTTACCTGTAATTTCACTGTGGGAAATGTTAATCTCATGCTCCAACATCTAACTTGGTTCTGCAATCCCACTCCTTCATTTCTCAGAGGAATTTTTTGTTGACTTTGAGAGGTCATTTCCTTACATATTTCCTTTACCAAACAGGAACTGCTTATTGGCTTTACTTACACATACAGAGATCTACTGAACATCTCTATGTAAGCTGCAGTAACATGATTTTGCGAACAAGCTAATAAAACATAATCCAGTATCGCCCACCCAGACCTCCCTCTTGGATACCCATGTTGGAAAAGAACAGGGAGGAATATCCACTGTTTGTAAATCTTTGCATTTCCTCCTCAAAGTCACACAACAAATACACATGAAATTAAGTTGTGCAAAACTTACTGTTCAGTCCTGTAATTTAGGCATTAACTAATGCCTCGCCATAAAACAATTACAGTGACAGCTGTTGACACAGATGGCTGACTCATTTTAGAAAAGTATTTTTTGTAGTAGTAGTAGTTGGTAGCAGTTTTAAGGGCTACTGTGAAAAGGAACTACTTTTGCAACTGGGTCTCTCTTCATGTTTATTGGGAACTTTGTTCTTTCTAAAGGAATGTAAAATCCAATAATCTCTCCTTTGCTACTCTCTTTTTAAAATTATTATTATTTTAAGTAGCACCTGTCTCTCTGCATTGCTCTCCACTGCTACCTTGCCACAATGCAACACTTTTCTTGGACCACGTCCATAACTTGCTATCCTAAAATCGGGTGCTTAACCTGAAGTTTCCACTGTTTGAGCAATTTTCCATTGGAAAGTTCATTTGCTGGGATCAAAGTCTGTTTATCAGAGCAAATCAATAGCAATTATACTTTTACTAGAACATAGCCAACTAACTGAATTCGCTTCCAGTCAAAATCTTTAAAGCAGGCTGTCAGCATTTCCTCGCAAATCCTCTGAGCGGGAGCTGAGAGGAGGCTGCATTTCAGCTTTTTAGTTGGTGATCAAACGGATCACCTTTGCAATAGACTTTGAGCAAGCCTCCAGGGTAGCAGTGCTGCAGATCCCTAGTGAATCTTTAGGGCTGGTAACAGGTTTCAGGTTAGCTCGTTTTAGAACAAATTCTTTGTTCACGGGAATCTGCCGGCTATATATTCAACTTCACGAGCCTTATATAAAAGATCCTGCTGCCTATCCTAAGCTTCAGGTAAAGCATTGACTGTGGAGCATAGAGCGTTAAGAAGTGATTTGTTAACTGGCACAAAGATGAAGCCATGGGTTTCACAGATGGCAAGATCAATAAGGGAAGTATTTGTTCATGGCAAGTTAAACGGTATTTCATATTTTCTACTACAGCCATTACAGGGTACCAACTCTTCGTTGTGATAAACTTAACTTAGATTCAAATCAGTTACCTATTGTTACACATCCTAATTACTCAGGCTTCTTTTAATATAGTCCATGAAACAGATCTGCATGCTTTTTATGATCATTCCCCTTCCTTAGAAGGGCAAAGTAAACTTTCAGTCTGGAATAACAGAGCAGAACGGGGTGTAGTAAGAGTAGAGTCCTTAACCTCATGTTACGCTTCTGTCACCAGTGACACGCTCCTTGAAACACGACAAACCCTATTTACACAAGCATTGCAGAGGAGGGAATGTTTTGCTTTAGTTTTGTAGTATTTGCAAGGCTGCCGCTCTTTTGCCACCCTGGCTGCTGCACAGGGGCAGGGCCTGAAGCAGTAAGAGGATTCACGAGTGAAGCAATGAGCAGAAACCAAAGATCTCTGCTGGACCTGGTCTCTCTGGGAAAGGGGTGGCTTGGGTAGATCTCACACCTCCCAGCTGAAAGTGCAACGGAGCTTGAGAAGCGGACACCCATGTTGTGTTGGGCACTGAGTCAGGTCGAGCCACGCTTATTGGCATGGTCTCAAGATGGGAAGGGGTAGGAAAACATGTCCTGAGATGAAGAGGGTTTGTATGGGCCAAAGAGACAACAGCCATCAATATTAGTGGAGGCCTTAGGGTAGGTGGATCCAGTCAACAGCATCCAGGTGTGAAACTCTTTTCTCAAATAAGTTATAGCTGCAAAAAGGCCTGGGAATCATTGCTGCAAGGAGCGTAGTTTTGAATAGTCTCAACTGCTCAGTCAGCAGCTGGCTAATTTTTAAATGCATTTCCCTCACACTGCAAAGCAACTAATACTTCTGTTTAAAATGCAGATGCTGGCATATATGTTCTACTCTGTGCCATACTATGTGATTGCTCTGTATGGCCTGCTGGTGCCTGGTTGTTCCTGGATGCCCGATTTAACCCTTATACATGCTGGAGGACTAGCTCAGGTATTTCTTTGTAAAATGTTCACTCTTGAATTACCAAGTAATAAGTAGAGAACTACAGAATAAATAAGGGGCCCAGGGCTTGATCTTCCCGTGTGGGTTTTATGCCATTGTAACTCAGATCATCTTTTGTATCTGTCAAAAAACTAATTTAAGGGAGTGGAGAATCAAAGCTATTATACGTCTCTAACGCCTGCATTCTTGCTTTAGTAGACTTCTTACGCAGAATCTTTTTGTTGGGCTCATTTAAACCTTATTAAGCACCATGCACTCTTTAGCTGAGGCCATGAAGGAAGCCTGTATTAAAGCTGTAACAGTCAACCATGTAAAAAAACCCAAACCACAACAAAACAGTAAATATATTGTTTCCATAGTATGCGTTGGCCAGCTAGGTAGTCTGAAAAAGGCAAATGGAAGAAAGTATCCACTAGTCACGCAAAATGAACAATATCAGTTGATGGTGTTGCTAGAACACTGGGAAGCTCCTGGGCCACAAACCACAGTAACACTTAAGACATGCTGGTGTCGCCAAAGGCAGACCAATGATCATACTTTCTTAACTCATTCTGTTCTGATTCTCTGAAATAAACAACCGTAGTTAATTACTAGATGGCGCTGAAGGTTATGAGAAGACTGGTCAAAACAAAAAAATACAAAAGGAACTAGTAAATGACTTCTCATGGCATAGAGATGACCATTTAACAGTTGAGACAGTGACAACTGATTCGTACTGTACGTAGGGAATGAAATGTGCTCTGAGCAGCCAGCCAATGCAGAAAATATGCACATAATCCTGCAACAATAATGAGAACATAGGCACACGGCAATCAGTGTAATTCAGGTACCACTGTCAGACAAACACAGACCAACACTTTGTTTCCCGGGCAGAGACAGCAATCGTGGATACGCACTACAATCCAGCTTAACTGCCCCCTAAGGATGGTGGAGAGACAGTTTATTTTCTATTTGTGAGCAACTATCACAGAGAATATGACTTTTTTTTTTTCTTAAACATACCAGTTTATAGAGAATCTTGAATCACCAAATTATATTAAAACAGAATCTGGCAAACATATTAATGAGGTTTAAATGCTCAAAAGGTATCATAAATACCATACAACTGTGTTTGGCCCAAATCTAATCTAAAAAAAGCACAACCTAGCTAAAGTAGGCAAGCCAGTGTCAGGAACCTCTCTCTACTGACAGATTACTCAGGTTTCATGAATTCCCCAGACAGTCAGGAAAGAAATCGCTCCTTCAAAGATTATTTAGCACAAGGAAAAGTAAACCAGAAGTCAGAGTGTGCCGACTATCACCATCTCGCAAGCTTACCAAAAAGCTCAGCCTCCTAGATTGGAGGTGATTTTTGGGTGGTTGGTTTGGTTTTGGTTTGTTGGGGTTTGTTTTGGTTATGTTTGTGGTTTTTTTTTTTTCTTTTAAATGTTTCCCATAACAAACACTTTTTTTTTAATGGCGCTTTGCACCTTTTACGTGTAGGATTAATACATGCAACATTTTGTTGCTGAAGTCTAAAACCCCCTCTGTTGTCCCTTGTGGTTTGGCTTCAGGATAGTGCTGATTTACACATTACACAAGGAGAAGAAAAGCTCCTGGTAACCCAAAGCTAACACTCAAAGCTTCCCATTTTACTCTTTAAAGCTTGTCCTAAGCACAAGTAAAAACCGTGGGCTGACAAAAACTAACTGATTAAGAGAACTGTATGTTGCTGCACACTCCCCGCATTTTATCCTGATTCAAAAAACATTTCTTTAAGTTTGCGAGGGTTTTTTTTTGTAGTTTTTACTTCAAAGCACTGCAGAATGAACTTCAGTCATTGCACAACTGAACAGGATTTAATTGATTTGACTTGGCGAACTGTGAGTAACCTGGGACAAAAAAATGTGTGTGACAACGAATTGAGGACTCCTTCTATATTATTTTTGGTTTTGGTCATTTTGAGGCACAAAACGCACTTCCAGGTTTGTCTACTGTTTTCTCAAGTTAAAACATTGTAATTGATAATTAAGACATATGTAGTTACTGAAACACATTTTACTTTGTTACACCCAGAGGTCCAAAAAAGATAAATATCTAATGATGGAAATGGTGGGCATTGCCCCTCGGGAATGAGCACTGCCCCTACAGATGGGGAATGTGGAGATTTTAATTATTTTTATTTCTGTCATTATGAAGTATGTACTTTTTACAAAAACAAGTCTCCAAATACCATGTAATGCATCTAAACTAAGAACCTCTAGAAGTGCCTAGCCTTTCACACACAAAGAGAAATATTTACTGTTTTTCAGAATGACACGCAGCCGTCAGCTTGAATTATTCTGTTACTAACATTCAGACCCCCAAACCAGGTTGTCACCCTTACTGGGCTTTCTGAAGCTTCAGGAAGAGCTCTTTAAGTGTCACACGACTAACGTACCAGGAGTTTTGATTATACAAAAGGGTTGGAACAGTCTCTGCGAACTTGATAAAACTGGCATTTCCCTAGGCAAGCGAGCCTCATGAGAAGCGCCACAGCCCTGCTACCCGAAACCATTCGGTCTCACCAACTCTCCGTAGCCCACTTCCCTACTCTCTCAGATGCAGAAAGTTTTTCTCTACTCCTTCTCCCTCTTAAGTGTTTTCCTTAATCCTGCAATTTTTGCTGTCTGGTTTGTGTAGTGCCTCTTGTCTAGAAGGGAACCTAAACCCAAGGAACGTATTTTTCTAGGTTACTCTCTCCCCGCTCTATTTGATGGCTTTCCTTAGGCTTGTAAGACCCGGTCCAAAGCCCTCCAAAATCAGTTACAGCCTTTGCCTGATTTCAGTCAGTTTTAGAGAGAAGGCACAGAGTGAAGGACCCCAACCTTTTTCCAGGCCCTTCTCTGTCCCTAGCTGGAGGGCTTGCTTTGGCCGCAGCATAAGAAATATTCCAAGTATTGCCTATGGTTAGGCTACAGGCAAAAAATATTGTAAAAAAAATCCAACCCCAAACTATTTCATACAGACAAGAAGCTTAATGAGTAGCAGGCATATGCAAGTTGCAGTTGTCAGGTTGAGCAGTGCCACGTCCAGCCCCAGGCAGCTTCCAGTTGCTGGGGGGGGGCCTGGTCAGCAGATGCCGAGGCTTCGAGGTTAGCAAAGGCTGTACCTTCAACGGATAAGGCTACCTTAGAAGTTTATTTGCAGCATCTTACTTGGTTGATTTCTCAACCAAGGTTTAAGGGTTTGATCCTCAAAATTCTCCGCTTAGAGAGGGTTCAGTAACAGAAAGCACCAAGGAACGGCCTGTTCTCTGAGAGGACCTGATCACGGCGAGGTAACACAACAGGCTCAAAGTTGCTCTCGCTTACCGCAACGCCAGCCTGTTGTGCAACAGGCGCCATGCCGTGCAGTAACTAACAGCTCTTGTCTTACTGCTTAGAGCTACGGATCTGGTGCAAGCCTGCCTGGCACTTGAAAGGTGAGCAGGACTGGGCCGGTGGCAAGTGAGAAGTCTGCTTTTAAGACCACACCACACACCCCCCACACCCCCCCAAGGGGGCAGGGGGAAAAGCAACAGTCATGGAAAGGAAACATGTGAGATTAAAGACATAACACAATTTCCACAGAGGCAGATTAAATTAAAAAAAAAGTTACTTTAACAGACCTAAATATCCTCCCTGGTAATGAAAGGAAGCAGCAGTGTGTTACATTGAAAAACAAGTCTAATAAACAGTAACTTCATTATATGGTGCATCATTAGCTAGTAAAAATCTTCAAGGGCTACAAATCGAACAAAATGCTTCTGCCTTTTCTTTTGATAATGCTCAAAGCTCACTAATGTGCCACAACTCATGTAAGAGACAAGGCCACACAATAAGGCTTAGATCTTCAAAGGCATCTAGGAGGCCAGGGGAGCTCTGGGTCTCTCAGAAGTGGGCCCTTACAGCTTTTTCTGACAAGGCTTGCTAGGAACTTATTATGAATTTACTATCAACTTACTATGACACACAGCTGGCCACTCTTGGAGACAGGTGGGCCTTGCAATCCTCCACAGAGAAGTACATAGCTCAGCATCTCGTTCACCCCAGGAGAGGCTCTAAAATACTAGCAGGAGGCTGCTAGTGCCTAGGAAAGCATTAGACAGCCCCAGCCCTCCTACCTGAAGCCCAATGGTGGCCAGCTGGCTGCTTGGGAAACTGCCGCCTCACAGAGCAAGAGGTCTGTGCTGCCGAGCACTGATGCTCTGGCTGCCTGGGCTGAGATGGCTCCGAGGCGAGGAAAGGCGGCAGGGACCCGCAGGGACCCGCACGAGCCCACGCAGGTGCCACAGGCAGCACCAGCCTGGGACAGGTGGGAACAAAGAGGCCACACCACAGCCCGAGTTACGAGGCTGATATAAAAAGGCTGGTGATAGCGTGCCCCTCAACAGCTGTTTACTGTGTAATAGCTATTTACAGAAACATGCTAAGTGGCACTCTGCTGAAGTGTGTTTGTACTTCATTTCTTTGATTACTCCGTTTCCTGACTCAGGTTTGCTAGATCAGCTCTCCCTCTGACGTGGAGGTGGTTAGAATCACCTGAAAACGGATTTCCCTTTCTGTTTCTATGTATGGTCTCAGCCTGACCTTTTGCTAGAGGGGTGTGTATTAAAACACCTGCACTGTATTCCATTTTCTACTTCGCTAACCGTGAACAGAACTGTGTTCTTTCTGAGTCCAAAATAACTCCCGCTGAAGCCAGAACAGAGGACGTGATTTGGCCACAGTGTACTCCTCTGCGTTACTGAAATCCTGGTGTCCCTTTCTCCTGCTCTGCTTAAGATCACATTGATGTTTGTCTTCTCCCATCTCCTCCACTGCTAACTAACTAAATAATAAAAAAAAAAAATTGGACACACAATAGTTAATGTGAACACGCTGTGGCTTGAAATAGCAGGTAACAGATGGAGACAAAAGACAGCGACTATCCTGACGCTTCTATCTTTAAATGTTTGTTTATGCTAAAAATACGCTTCAGCCCAGCAAGCTTGTCTTTGCATATAACCTTCGCTGTAAACCGAACCTCTGCTTCAGAACTGCCCCCGGCCCAAAAGCCAAATATTGCAGATGTTTTCTGAAATCATCAGCTCTGGGATCAAAATCTGGAAGACTGGGTTTAAGATTTAAAAAACAAAGCAAAACAAACCCAGAACTAACATAGCTTCCAAGATTTTATTTTCTAACTTTATTCCGAGCGAGTGTCCGCCTGCTTCCCCTCAATGCCACACACCGCGTTCCCGGGTCGGTGGGGCTGAGCCTTTGGAGCGCAGACCTCTAGGGCGATGCCCACCTCAGGGGAAGGAGCGTGGACCCTCTTGCGTGAATAACCACCTACAGGCCAAGGGTGGAGCCCTATACCTGATGTAAAGATCAGTGCCACCGTGTGCATAAAATAAACCTCCTACCACGGCACTGACAGTTCCTCTTACGCCTCTTACACCAAGATATTAATGACCTTAGTTTAGGCTGTATTTTTATACCGCTGTGCCAAAGTATGATGGATAATTCTGGAAGAAAAGGGCTGGCTTGGAAAATGTCACTGGAGATGCACACTTGCATGCAGATTACGCTGTCTTTCCAAAATACACATCGACTTTACCTTTTTTTTAATATATACGTTATATACACACCACAGGCTCAATTTTCCCACATTGGTGCTTCTCTTCACGCTCGAACGCCTTACATCTACAGAGTCCCTGAAGAAGCAAAACAGCTTTTTCTGATATTGAACGTAATGTATGGGATTCTTCCCCAGCTGTTGGCTTACAGATGCGTCAACAAGCCAGAGTTTTTTATGAAAACAAAACAAGAAGAAAAAACGGAATAGCACAACTGTTTTCAGCTCCTCCGTGTGGCTGTGTATATAATTGGGCTGGGATGTAACTGAACTGCTCCAATGGAACCCGAATGAAGCGTGTAAGGTGTGTAAAATTGCACAATTGTGTAAAGTTGCACGGTCTGTTGTGTTCATCCTGCTCAAAAAGGGAAAATAAAGACGACTGCCTTCAGTACCACTTCTCAACATTTTGACTTTGCGCTGCAGTGGAGTTGCTACTTCACATCATAGCTATTTTTAAGTAAGCTGCTTTGACAGTTTCAGAAATACTGCATGAAGTTAAATAATAATAATGACGTCAGTGTTTAGCCTCCACACAGTGAGGAATATCAGTGCTAGCAATCCCTGCACAGAGCTACTGTAGAATGCGAAGGTCAGTATTTGGAAGTGTGAGAAATTACCATACATAACTCTGTCACATGCACAGGTTTTATTTGTCCAAAAGTATGTCTCGTGGGTCAGCCTTGTTAAAAATCCCAAGAAGTCTTTTAAGAAGCAATCAACTCTTATGGTAAGACTCCATATATGGTAAGCAAATCGTGTAGTCTTGTTAATTCTTCTAAGGGTTCACTTCTGCAAGGACTGCTCATCTGCTTGAAGTCAAGCAGGTGCCTACCAGCCCTTCTGAGCTGGGCGCGGGGGGCTCGACACCCTGAGCAAGCATCAGGCCTCGCGCGGCAGCATGCGCTTGCAGAGAGGAGCGGGTTTTGGCCGAGTTCGCCTCTGCAGCTACTTTTGCTAACGCTTGTTGGGCGATAAACAGGTAGCGGCAAATACAGCGACCGTGGCTTGTGTCGTTTATGTTTCTGTTCGCAGTTACAACTATTTCTATGACTTCTATGTGTATCTATACTAAAAGCAGTACACTTAGTGCCTTTGTCACAGATGAAATTAGCTGATACATTTTAACTGGAAACACTTTATTTTGGGATGTTGACTTCTGGCTGTTTTGATTTAGAGAATTTTAATTTTCTTTTTAAACCTAATGGGTAACAAGAAAGCATCGGCTCATGCGCATGCGTGTTGCACCCTGCACAAGGGGACTTTCAGAGCAGCCAGAAATCCGTGCTTCCGCACTCTCCCGCTGCGCGCCGCGGCGCGGGTCCCAGCAGCGCTCAGAAGAGAACCCGCGGTTTGGTTCCTGCGGCCAAAGGGGCAGGCCCAAAAGAACCCCCGCACACGGCAGGCAGTGCTGCTCGGCAGAAGGGAACCTAGCGCCCCGCCGCCCTGGCGTGGGCTCCCTCCACGTACGCTAGGGTTCGGGGTAGCTCCATCCCAGTCCGTCCTCCCAAGAAAACGAGCCCAGGGCTGGTGGGCTGCAGTAGGACATGCTGGCTCGCAAACGGGCATCTGAGCCTCCGATGTTACTGCTAATGTTTTTAAAGAAACTTTGAGTACATTCAAGGTGAATTTAATAACCTCCTGTTATCCAGAAAAGGCAAAGTACAGAAAAAATAAAGATCTCACCTGCACTTGTATCTATTATGGTCAACTCATGTTAACAGAATGTTTTGCTTTAATACTTGACTTACATTAATACCTCACATTATTACACGTATGAAGCCAAATATGACGCTAACTTAGTTGCTTACAACCTCAAACCTTACTCCCAATACACATTCCAATAAATTTATTCTGTAAAAACAATACATTTTTTTGTTTTCTTTTTGTTTTGTTTTTTGTTTTTTTGTTGTGGGTTTTTTTAGTTTTTTACAGTAAACTCGTCAACTACAAACCTTGAATACGCAAAAGATGTTCCAAGGACAAGCATAACAAGGATTGATAAAACCAGACTAAATATGTTTTCACAATAAAAGCTGGCATAAAAATAAATAAAAATCTCTATTATCACAATAGCAACAATAATGTACACAGAATAATGGATCTGGAATGCTTACTTACTAGTCTAGTTCTATTTCCAAAAGGAAAAAAAAAGCCAGAATGACAGCATCCTTTTTTAAGCCTTTCATTAGTTAAAATTGATGTTTTCTTTTGGTTTCCCATAGGGTTCTATATCACAGTAAGCTTAAAAATGGAAAGCATCCAAATGAATGATTTCAAATTGTGTTGGCATTGGAAAAAATCCTTGTATTAATCTAAAGAAACACAAAAAGACTTTCACTAACTCCACATATAGGAACTAAGTCAGATAGTGTACATTACATCATGATTTTGAGAAGTAGTAAGAGTATAACTAGCTAGGTACTTCTAATAAGGAAAGGTATTTTATTACATTATTGAACTTGGCGGTGATCTCAACTGAAGAAGAATTTCTCTTTTATGTTGTAAACTGATCAAAAATCAAGAAAGTATGGATACAGGGAAATTTAAAATCATGTTTGTACGTGGAAGATATTGTAGTATTGTATGGAGGGGACTAATTTCTAAGATTTACTTGTTTTTAAAAAAATGCTGATTTAGAATGATATAATTTGGAGTTACACCTTTTCTTTCTAGAAAAGGAATCCAAAACATGTTCAAGTATGCGGTATCTTCATAAACCTCAGCCACTGGTAAAGGGCAACTTCATGCAACCAAATAATATGAAAATCAAAAAGTAACCCTTAGAAAAAAGGGTAAAATGTCATTTCTGCAAACACAACAGATAGGAATGTGAATAATGTGCATACAAACTGGGATGCTGTTGATGATACTAATGAACAGATGCGGTGACTCATATCAAATCCAAGAATATTAGACAACCAAACATGTAACCTTCTTGTGTTTTCCCTTAATATTCAGCAGTCATTATGTTGGTTAAGTCTGAAAGAGAAAAAAAAAAGAATCACATTTAATGTACGAAAGAGCATGCTGCCACGCACTTGATATAATTAATGCCGTATTCCCACACTTCAAAGCCACAGGTAGAAGGAACCACCTGGTCTGTTTGAACGGGAATTTTTTTCTAGAGAAAACTGCTTACGTTACATCAGCTAAACATACCACTACAAAATGTTAAAGAATACAGCTTAAAAGTAAACATTTAGGGCTTTATTCAAATAAGCAGCTCGAGTCATGTCTGTGGGTTGCTTTTTGTTTTCCCCCATCAGTTCATTCCGAATCTCGCACTATACTTCACACACAACCAAATTTCGCATTTTTCCGCTACAGTGAATCGCCGCTAGGCTTCACGCAGAAGCTCGGGCACTGCTGCGGTCCTGATCGCCTTGCGAGGAGAACGCCCTCGTGTTCAAACAAAGGAACGCTTAGCAAGGACGATGCAAGATAAACAGTTTTCACAGCTCACGTGTCTGAATGTTGCTTCTGAAAAGGAAACGGTTTGGCTTGGAGTTCACTGTAAGGCGATGACAGAAAAGGAAGAACTCCCACTTCGTGACTGAGTCAAGGTCAGCTCTTGCTTCCACTGACGTTAGTGGGACAGGATCAGACCGGCCTCACGGGATCGTGGCAAGTGTCTCCAAGTCTCGGTTTCTTTGTATTAAACGGAGGTAGCAAAACTCATCTACAGGCACAGGGACGAACTCCTTTTGTCCAACAACATGAAGACGTGCGACGCTACATGACTACCTAACCCTGAGCAAGACGTCCCATCTCCTGTGTGAAGAATTCAGAGCGTGAACGCCTGTGCACCCACACCCTGATGGACGGAAAGAAACCCAACACACAAGCAGTATGAAAGAATTAGTACCGTACTTGCTGTGACCATCCAAGAAAAAAACCAACATCAAGGAATAAGTGGGGGGGTACAGGTTAAATCCACTGGGGAGGACGGAATTTTCATTTTACACAGGATCCAGAAGAGAATATGAAAAGAAGACATTTGAACATCCCTGCATGAGCAGTTTGCTGCCTAGGCTCTCTCCTGCTCTGGCCCATCATCCCTGCTGTGTGTGCTGCCGTGGCTGTAGCGGACTATGCTTCTCTGTCCAAGAGGATAAGAGCACACCAGGGCCCACTGAGCAGCCTGGGATCCCAGCCTGCTCGCTGCACCTCTCAACGACGGGCCGTGTTCATTCAGCGCGGTCCCTCTCTCCTACGACAAGGGGTTTGCAAACAGCAAGTAATGGAAACCTGCACTTTCCGTGTGGGAGGTGCTGGTACATCCTGACTAACGACACATGATAAGGGGTTATTATAAAATGCTCATGCATGTAATGATGGCTTACAGGAACTGCCTGTGAAGGTGTAGCAATGCGCTGCTCATCCAGAGCACCGCACTTCCATTGACCTCTCTCCTCTTCAAGAGTCAAGGAGATGATGCTTACAGATGCTTGGAGACGTGGCTTGGAGGGGTTCGCTGCCGTTTCTTTCCCTTTAGAGGGAAGTGCAGACACCCATTAAAACAACTACAAACGATTAGTCAATCAAACCATGCCTTCTGCTGAAGTTGTTAATGACAGCTGCTACCCAGCACTGACAGGCAGGATGGGTGGTGAAACAGTCAGTCCCTGCGGTATTGCTCTCAGATCCGGTAAGGAAAGTTGTCCTTTGGGAGTATGACACCTTTGCACTTACTAACAATTCCCCTCTGGGCTAAGGCCAGAAGACTGGGTAGGCGCCATTCTCAAGTGGGGCGCTGGGAATATTAATGCTTCCACTCCCCGCTGTCTCACAGATAGGTCCGCTGGGCCACGGTGTGGCACGGGAGGGACAACAAAGAGCCAGGTATGCAAATCATCCTCTAGGATTTTCACAGTTTCCAGTACCACCTTCCAGCACGACACACATTTTGTCTCCCAGGCGTGCTGCCAGCTGCCCCAGAAGTCGGCACTTCTCCCTGGATGCAGGCAGCCCCCGCGGGCACGGGGCTGCACGGGGACCTCGGCTCCCCCCTGCCCCGGCACACGCGCTGGCAGGCTCCCGCGGCAGCGGCTGAGCAAGGATGCGGCAGAGCTGAGCAGTTTCCATGGTCTCCATGGTTTCACGTCTCTTCAGAAACAGATCAACTCGCATCATCTTTGTTTGAACAAGTCTCTCAGCTTTACTGCAAGATACGGTGCAACGTGTGCCGCGCTGATCAATGCTACTGCACACAAAAGAAACAGCACAGAATCTGACTGATTCGAGTAAAAAATTTCAGTCATCAATAAAACTGAAGGACAGAGAACACA